CTTCTAGTTTACTGTACCATGTTTCGTTACCAATAATAAGTTTTTCAATATAATATATAATTGATAATATCCATTTATGAAAAATATATCCAACATCAACTCATACTTGTAGTCCATTAGTCTCCCCTTAAGATTGAGTCATTCAAACACGATTCTTTTATTCATATATTTCATAAACAGTTATGAGCATATGATGGGTTAAGGTCAATAACCTATCTTTTGCTTGGAAACCCAAGCACTTCATAATTCATATATACTTTGTCTACTCATAAAAAAAAAAGCGTTAATTCTTCTGGAACTATATTAATACTATTGCATCTAATTCTTCAGGAACTATATAATTTAAGAGAAATATGAAAGACAACTCTATTTCAATATATCATTAACATAATAACAAATAATTATGAGTATCATAGATTTAACTTGCAATACACATAGAGAACACACAAAAATGATGAAAAACATTTAAAATGAACTTTTAAAAATAAAGTACAAATAATACTTAATGTTCAAAATTTATCAATATTGATCAAGGTACTATAGACATTTAAAATATTCAAAACTAATATTAAATCAAATCATATAAATAAGATATAAATAAGCAAAATATAACTAGTAACTTTTAGGTTTATTTGATCTATTTAGTTTTATATTACACACTTATCAATATCACAATATCAAATTGTTATAACAATTTGTTTATCACAAATCACAATAAATTTAAAGACTGACAAAAATTAAATACTATACATATAGCCTTCTAGGCATATACTTGTATGTTTTCTATTTTTATATATACTTTGGGCATTTATGTTTCTTAATAATTTATTGACTTCAGGCATTAAAATTACCTTCGATATTTTCATAATATCTCATGGTCTTTTTGATTCCACAACCATTTTTTAAACATTTTCTTTTCAATGAATTAATACATATTTGTCTATATGACTTCTGGTCATATTATAACATTTGTTCATAATTTTATTATATTTATCATGGGGCTATTACTAATTCTTCTGTTATGATTTAATAGTCAAGCCCCAAGATTATTACCTTTTTAGTTATCAGTTTAACTGATATAATGTGATCATACTCTTTATTAATCTTATGGACATATTCTTTGCTTTCAATAGCACACCATCATTTTTCTTAAATATTAGTCTTCCAGACTATAACAAAATTTTCAGAATTACGAAGTTCTTTTGTATGGTTTAATTTTTTAAACCATCAATCTTTAGGACTTTGATATAGATTATCAAATTGTGAGACAATTTTGCCATGCCATCTATTACAACCACAAGATGGTCTGTTATCAAATAATCAACAAAACGTGATGTGGCTTCTAGCCATCTAATCACAAAATCAAGAATATAATGACTATTAACCATTCATTTATATGTTTAATATTTTTTTTCTAAGATAACAATTAATTAACTAATATCAGAGATAATATGATGAAAATAAACCTTATAGCAAATCAATGAGTATAAGGATAATAGAATCATAAAAATATAAGAAAAGTAAGAAATAAAAAATATGATAAATAAAATATTCGGCTACCAATGAATCAATAAGGTTAATATGCAAAACCACCATTTCCTCTAAATAAATTGGAGAAATCTTACCAAACTGTTCGGATCAAACTATCTTCATTCAACGAACAAAACGTCAACGTGTATCGACTAGGAGCCATGAACTCTGATGGTAGAGTCTTGTGCTGATAACGTGTTATGAAATTAACTAACAATAAAAGTAGATTGGAGAAGAGAAGTAGACAAGAAAATTAGAGAATGATATTATATTCCTTCACTTGTTTCACTTGCATCACAATACAATGGCATGCCTTATCTATAGGCATGATCTTACACATAAGTTACATTTGTATTTAAATGATAGATAGTGGACAATAAACCACATGAATATGAGTGGGGGGAGTTACAAGATTAAAGGCATGGTGGAAAGGTAATGGAGTAGTGGAAAGGTAATGGAGTAGATTAATGGCTAGTGAAAGTAGTGGGAGTTGATGATGAAGTTGAGAAGAAGAGGAAGAGGAAGAGATGGACATCCACATGTTATAATATTCATAACAAATGCCGAGTTATATAATTCACAAATTTGTGATTATTATATAGAAATTATTTATAAACTAATTGTCTAGTTTAAATTTAATTAAAACGATTCAAATTTAATTGTTTAAATTCGTTACATTAAAATTTCACCTTCAAGGTATTTTTTTTTTCAAAAGAATAAAACATCAAAATAAATGTGATATGTTTAGAGTCAATAGTGACACAGACGTTTTATATTTGTCATGAAAACCTTTTTTCGTCGTTCTTTTAAAAGTTCAATATAGATAACGTAGTAAATGGGCATATCTGCCTCTATTTGTATTTGTTTTGTAGAACAGACACAGATAAGACTTTCCAAGTCCGTTTTTCAGTATAACAAATGTTGAAAGTAAAACTATCTATTCAACCATAAAAATGAGCCTTATTTTTGGAGTCAACTAAATGGATCGTATAGTCTTGTTGTGCTTTATTAACGATAACAACATTAAGTCTTATCCCATTAAATGTGATCAACTACATAGATCGCATAACACTATTGTACTCTATCAATAACTAAATCTTTAGATAGGTTATTAACCAAAAGGTTTTATTCAATAATTTCATTAGGCGTTTCTCCCGGTTTTCTTTTACCTCTTTTAAAAGGACTTTAAGTTGTCTACTTGTGCTTTCTTGACAAAATGTAAAACTATCTATGAAACCTCTATTTTATTATTGAAAGACAAGCTGATGAAAAGCGATAGAATTCGCCATTCCGTATGAATCACTTAAGCATCGGTTTTGGAAAGCTTTACTCAATCGCCTATTCTCACCCTTTTTTCCCTATTTTTTTCTTCTTCTTTTTCCCTCTTTCTTTCTTTCTTTCTTTCTTCTACCTTTTTTTTTTTGCTGGTCAATGACAGCTCTTCTATGAAACAATGGACTTTCTAATCTTAATAAATACGCTTAACAACCAATGCTATCAACCTTTGTCTTTACATTATTCTTGTATATTTGTATTCTTTTGTATGCCTCATCAAACGCTTGAATTAACACTCATATATATATATATATATATATATATTCTAAGAAAACAAACCTAAATTAAAAAGAAAGATAAAAATTAATAATAACATATCAATTTTCTGTCTGAATGCCACGCATATCTGCTCCTTTGGTCATGCAGTTTGGTTGAAAAAAAAGTTTTGGCTACATAATTGCTCAGTTAATTTGATGAATGATAAATATTACTATTACTTATAAATTATTATAAAAACTGGTAAAATTTCTCATTAATATTATATATATTATATTTATGTCGGTGGTTGTTTTCATTTTGTTTTTTGACCAGAAATTCAAAGGGTAATTTTTCAACAGCGCAATAAATGCCATCTTCAACGATCAGCCCTCTGCAAACTCTTTATTGCAATTTTAGATTTTTTTTTTGGTGTGTATCAAAGATTTTTTTTTTTGCCAACAATTTTAGGTATTACTATTACTACAATACCATTCTAATTTTTATTATTTGTCACTTGTAGGAGAGAATTTTGGTCCTTTTTATTTGTTACTTATATCTTTTTAATGCTTCATTTCTAATTCTACTCCTATTAATTATAGTGAAGATGTAGAGAGAGGAAATTGATGAGAGAAAGTAGACTAGCATTTATCATATTTTTTTCAGTATCCATATATTTTTAATAAGGACAAAAATAAATTTTTTTAATCTATTTAATGCTCTACTTGGTATGTGAGAAACTCTTACAAAATGACAAATAATAAGTACTGCATAATACGAAGTTAGGTTTGAGTGTTTGATTGTCATAAATTCTATTTCTTGATTGTCTGCCTCCTTAAAAAATAGTATTATAATAGTAAAACAAATAACGATTATTCTTTTAAGTTTTTTTGACGGAGATTATTCTTTTAATTAAATAAAGCTAAAGTATACAAAATTCTTCTAAATTTTGGGTCAACTGTACATAATTTCCTAACATTTTAATGGTTTGATTTCACCTCATTAGTATTACAAATATTTATCCATAGTAGCGATCTGATTGATATTGTATTCTCTCCGGTCCTTAATATAATATTTATTTTACGGTACAATTTGTACTATAAAATATGTCTTATATATACTAAAGACTGGAGGAGTATAACATTTTATTTTTCTTAAAAAACGATCAATTGTACATATAAAAAACTAGTTGGAGGATTACTTTAGTAAATATAAGAATTTAGTTCGTGTCTTCCAAAATTATATTTTTTTGGTTCCCCATTTATCACATAGCAAATAAGCTGTAGTTTCAATTACAAATGATAATTAAAGAAGGTGTTCTATGAAAATCAACACACAGTCTGAACATATAAATAATTTAACTAATTTTCTTAATATCAGCTCATATGTTCTTATTTGTAAAGATGTAGATCAGAGAGAATACTTTTTTGTTCTTATTTATAAGTCATATCATTAAATTTTAATATGAATGTATTAATTTACAATTCATGTATTGGTGTGTGGATTGTCATTTTGTTGGAAATTATATATATTAAATAAAAATAAAATTAAAAATTTATTAAATTTGAAAACAGAGTTAATATGACTCAAGTTAATTAGGGAGAATAAAAAGAAGGGCCACTATCAAAACAATTTAGCAGGCCATACTAATATATAACTTAAATTCATCAAGACCAGTCTGGAACGTGTCTCTCAAGTAGCCGCACTATATTTATTTACAAAGCCCAAGTTCAAAATTTCACTCAATGTTGGAATAATATTTTTTTTTTAATTGAAGTCAACGACAGGTACGTAATATATACGGATGTGGATGAGAATTTTGAAAAGTTACTTTATGAGGGAGAATGAACATGACGTCTTGTGGTTGAGAAGCCGTGTGTATATATGTAAAGTGATTGAGAAAGCGAGCTTATAAGTCTTAACTACAACTAATATTACAGAAAAGAAAAGAAAGAGATCTCAGAGAGATGATCAGAATGAAAGAAAGAAGAGGGAATAATAATAATATTGGTTTTGCGATAGCAATAATATTAATCCTAACGAATCAGATTGCTATTTGCTGTTCTGCTGAGATTCATAGGACAAGTTTCCCAAAGGGCTTCGTCTTTGGCACTGCTTCTTCAGCTTTCCAGGTTCCTTTAATCTCTCTCTCTTTCTCTCTCTCTTCCTTCCTTCCTTCATTCATCAGATTCATCAGAGTTACAGAAAATGGAATTTTCTCGGGATTGGTGGGTTGCTTTTGTAAATGCTTGGTTTTGGAGGCAATTTGAATTGCATTATATTGAATCTATAATGAACAAAACAAGAATATAGGATAATAATCATCTCCATCATCGCCTTTGCTCTTGTTTCTTCTCTTTGGATTAATTCGTAGCTTTCCCTGAAAGCAGCGGTGTTTTTGTTTTAGGGGTTATTTCAAGATACAGCAAGATTTTCTTTTTGTTTTTTTGCCAATAATAGTTTATTGTTTAGATTAGAAGTTGTGAGAAAATTAAATAAAATTGCTCATGTATAATTTTGGCAACAATTTAAGAAACATAACCAAGTCTCTCTCTCTTTCTTATACATATTCCCTCTGGTTTACAATTAAGTCACTTGGATAATAATTAATGTTTATATGTCAATTTTGTCTCTACAATTAATGTTTAAAAATGACTCTTTGTATTTTTTCCTCCTTCACAGCCTTATTTAAAATGGCTAAAACTGGGGGGAAAATTTAATTTGAGATGGATTTGACAATTTAACTATATATCATTTCTTGATTTTGATAAATTAGTTAAAATGACTTGATATTGTGAACTGAAAAGAGGATGTGTGTGTTTGTAAACTCTTGACCCTCATATGTATTTCATCTCAATCTTATTCTTATAACCTGAACAAGCTTTAAATAGCTAAAACTGAGTTCATGTACATATTAATTAGGATATTTATAAGTGATAATGCATTGTGTCTTCTTCATCATACTTATATCATAATTTTAATGACAATCAAAATATGATTTCATCATAATGTCTTTATTTTGAAGAAAACCAGTTGAGGAAGGTGGTTGACATAGGACGGAAAAATTCAACTGTATTTAATAACATTTATTGGTGGGAAAAATTAATACTAGTAACATTTATTGAAGGATAAATTAGTTTGCCTCCTTAAATGCTTATTTTGAATTGATATATATATATATATATATATGAAAACGACATTATTTTTTAGTAATACTATTATGAATAAATGTTTTAAGTTTTGTTTAATGTTTTAAATTTGTACTGGAAAAAAAACTTAATTATAAGTTTTCTAAAAGAATCTTTTTTCGTCAAAAGGAATGTTTACATAACAGTAATACTCCCTTCGATTCATAATAGGTATCACGAAAAGTCTTTCTTCCTTCGTTATTCAGTAAGTGTCATTTTTATATTTCAATTTTAAAAAATGTAAATTTTTCTATATCATATTTTGTCCCTTCTTAATGCACCCATTATTTATTGATTGAGGAAAATATTTTTCAGGTAAAAAAAAATATTTTTGTAACAATTTTTATAGATTAAGAGAGCATTATTTAAGATAGAGAGAGAGAACATTATTTGATAGTTTTTTTTCATTTTCGCCTCTCGACTTGACTTCTATTGAGTCATCTTTTTGAAAAAGAAGATGTTTTATAATGTTCACATTAATTTAATAAATAATTAAGATAAAAATAAAATTTTGCACTTTTTAAAAAAAAATTTAAAATTATAACAAAATTTTTCTTAATATATATGAAGTAGTTGTAAATACCTCATATATCAAGGGAACACTAGGCACTTAATACTTCTATTGTGACATAAGACATATATTTATATATATTGGCTAAAGCATATATTTATTTTTTTAACTTTACATAGAGTTATAATTTGGTCCCTTAACTTTAAAAAAATATACTTTTAGTTCTTTAAACATAAAATTATTAACAAAAAAATGATAATAATGAGATCTTAAATATTAATAAAATATTCTCAAATACTAATATATTAAGTTTAATTTTTAACAACCATAATTATTATAAAAAATTATCATTTAAGCGTAACCATTTTAAGGTTAAAGAACCAAATGTATGTTTTTTAAAGTTAAGAGATCAAATTGAAATATTGTATAAAATTAAATAACCACATGTGTACTTTAGCTTCTAGTATACATTATAAAAGCTATTGTAGTTTCAGTTGTGGAAAAAATACAACTTACATGTATTTTTAATTAGACTTGAATAACAATAAACAAATGAGTACATTGATAAAAAGTAAAATAACTTTGGAAGTTTTCCACGAAATGGAAAGAATACTATTTTGGGCAGTCAAGGCAAAGAATATTTTATTTGTCTTAATAAATTGGTCAAAACTTATTTTGGTAAAATACTAATTATTAATTAACAAAGGATGCAACTTGCACGCCATGCAAATCAAATACATCGAACACAGGGGGGTCTTCGGGATCTAAACGTAATTTCCAATTTTAATAAATTTGCTTCTAATCAATAATTACTTCTCATTTATGTAGGCTCTTTCTTGCTTTTGATATGTCGGATTTTAATCTAGGGGATTGACTATTGTCATTTTTTTGTTCATATTGGGAAAATAGTGCCCCTATAAGGAAGAAAAAAGAGAGTCTAATATTATACTCCTCTTGTCCTATTTATAACGCACAAAAAGAAGATATTTTTTTATCATATTTATAGGGCATTAAGAGAAATTTTTTGTATGAATGTATAATTTTATCCCTCATTTATTATTATGTTGACTTTGTTTGCATGAGATATAATGTATATTAAATAGGAATAGAGTTAGAAAGTTGTTTAATTTTAAATGAGAGCTAATAAAGTTTAAGGTTTTCATTGATATGTATGAAACATGCTGAAATTAACTTATAAATAGAACCAGGAGAGTATCAATATATTCCTATTTATAAGTCACTTGTATCCTAAACGAGCAAACCAAAAAATGCATTGGATTGATAACTTTTTTCACATTTTTCCTTATTAAAGAAAGGGTATTAAAATATATTTTATATTTTCTATCACCTATTACTCTGTACCTATTTATAAATCACTTCTACTCCAAGCTCGCAAAACAAAAAATACATTAAATTTGATAATTTTTTCACATTTGTCCTTACTAAAAAAAGGTATTAAAAATATATTTGTTATTTTTCTCACCTATTTGCTTTATCTCTCTATGCATTTATTAAGTCAACGTAGATAAAATTGGAAAAAGCTCATTAATTATCCTACAAGTGACTAATATTTGGGAACAAACTTTTTTCCTACAAATGACTTATAAATAGAAATAGAGTGGTATTTACTCTATCTCTCTCTATGCATTCATTAAGTCAACAGGGTTAAAATTCAAAACAAAAACTTATTAATTATCCTATAAGTGATTGTTATTTAGGAACAAATTTTTGTCCTATAAGTGATTTATAAATAGGAACCGAGTAGCATGTAGCGAAAATTAATGAGCCAATTTTGATTAGCTAACTGTACTACTTTAACTGGATGTTTTATATTCGAGTCCTGGGTGGTATATAACTGTATTAAATACTTGTTGGGATACCTGACGCTATTACAAAAAAGAAAATGAAAATATTGTATGAATTAGTGTGAATAAATCAATCAAAGTCCAATGATGCCAAATTACCTAACAATTTCAACGATTTGAAGTATTGTTTTTAGATATTTGAACAAAAATGAAAACTAACAAGGTAAATGGAAAGGAAACTTCAAGCTTTCGTCCGAATTCAATTCTCTCTCCTTAATAGTATGAAGGCTTGTGGATTTTTTTTTTTAATGTCAATTATCAATTAATGATGTAAGATGTGAGACACATGCAAGTGCAATCTTGGTGATTTTATTTTGGTTGAACATATTGATCAAATTATTTGGAAATAAATAAAAATAATAATGATATTGTTAAATTTTCTTTTTTTGTGCAGTACGAAGGAGCTGTGAAAGAAGATGGAAGGGGACCCTCTGTGTGGGATAAATTTTCACATACTTTTGGTAAGACATTGCCTATAAATTTAATTTAATTTTAATTGCATCAAAGAATTTTGAAAAAATTATTTGGCTATTAAGAAACTGATGATGCATATGATTACTGTGTTGCAGGCAAGATATTAGATTTTAGCAATGGTGACATTGCCGTGGATCATTACCATCGGTATGAGGTAAGTAAAGCTGAACATCATTAAATATATACTATCTCTAATCCTTAATATAAGAATTATATAACTAATTTATGAATATTAAAAAAATTAGTTAAACTAGTTATTGATAACACTATATGTTTGGTTTTCTTAAACTATCTTTTTTAGTCATATGCATTAGAGCTAACCATTGAAGAAACTTCCTTGATATGGATAATTAATGGAGATATTTCAGAGAAAAATTATAAATTTAAAGGATAAAATGGATTGAATCTTATATTTATGACCAAAATAAACTCTTATCTAATTATTATACTTAAAACGGAAGGTAATAGTTTGAAAGACACCGAGCTCAAAACTAGAAGCCGCATTGTTCGTCACATATGAATAATCTGACTTTCGCTGGCTTTTATATAAGTATATTGACTATACTTTCTCTTGTCTTAAATATAAGAATTAAGAGAAGAATTTGCTTAATTTGAAAATTAAGTTCTCAATCTCCTTTATCTTCTAAATGTATACTTTTTCTAGTCATTAATATTAGAGCTACTTGATTAGTTTGAATAGATTAAGAAAGTTAAATTAATTAATTAATTATCACAACAAAAATGACATGATCTCTCTATATACCATTAAATTATATGTCAACTTATAAGTTAGATAAATTAGTTTTACGAAATGTATAAATAAGAGAGAGAAAGTATATAATTATGACCAAATTCAACACACAAGCTAGCTCATATACACACACTATCATATATTAGGGAGTGGGGACCTGAGGGATAATTTTTTTTCCTAAACGCTCCCTTTTGATGTCATGTATTGAACCCATTTTTTGTCACAAAAGTGGTTTTCAATGAAAATAATTAAAATTATGGGTATTTTAAAAAATCAATACATATTTCTTACAAATAATTAACTAATTTCTTTCTATAAAATAGTTATCTACCTTTTATATTTAGTATCGTATAGAGTAATACATTTTTGTTATGTGTAAACAGGAAGATATACAACTGATGAAGGACATGGGGATGGATGCATTTAGGTTTTCCATTTCCTGGTCTCGGATTTTTCCCAGTAAGTGTTGCTTTTTTTAAAAAATTTTTTGTCTTCCATATATGCAGAGTCCTCATACAATATTATTGAACTCCTTGATTAATAATCATATCAAAATCCAGTTTTCTTGATGTTATTTTGCTTCAAGCATGAGATTTCTTGAAGAATAAGATTATATTCTTAGGTTCAAATACAAGCTAAGACACAAGCAAAATGGGTAACACAAAATGATCAAATACTATACATTTTTCTTGTGTATATATTTCTGGTAGAAATGTGAAGTTTGATTTTATAACCTTTTGGTTTCAGTACACCTAAGTGTTTTACAAGACAAAAATTCTTTCAAATATTTATGCATGGCACACATTTAAGTCGATCCAAACAAGTACTTAGATAAGCTTATATACACTGGTGATGATACGATGATGAAATGGTGTGATATATATAATATTAATGTAGATGGATCTGGAGAAATCAATCAAGCAGGAATTGATCATTACAACAAAGTCATAAATGCTTTGTTGGCGAAAGGTAATGAATTTTAAGTTCGAAGCCATAAATTCATTATTTAGCAATAATAAGATGATTGTAATGCTTCTAAGTACTTGTTCCATTATCACAAACATTTTTGCAGGAATTGAACCCTATGTAACCCTTTACCATTGGGATCTACCCCAAGCCTTGGCAGACAAGTACAATGGATGGCTCAGCCCTGACATCATGTACATGCAAAAGAACTTTTGTATACTATATACATGCATATATCTACACACACACAAACACTCAGGCTAAAAATATATATACATACACATACACTTTAAATATATATATACATACACACAGACTATGGTATTAAGGACCTAATTGTTGAGTTAATTTTGATCCTAAATGTAAGATATATTTCTTATATTTATCAGTTTTTTTTTCTAAAGTATCCTTATGAATATTCTTTCAATTATAATCAAGTAGGAAATGGAGAGGATATTAAGGAAGATGATTATGGTATCTTAAGAAAAACAAGTCATGTTTCTTGTAATTAACTAACTTACCTAACTTACTTAATCTAATCAAATTAGTTAAATAGGTCTTATATTAAGAAACGAAAGAGTATAAAATACTAAAATATATGTGCTCACATTTGTTATCTTGCGTGTATATACATTGCAGAAAGGACTTCGCAATTTATGCGGAGACTTGCTTTCATAACTTTGGGGATAGGGTGAAGCATTGGATCACTTTCAATGAGCCTCATACATTTGCTACACAAGGGTATGACGTCGGCCTCCAGGCTCCCGGCCGCTGCTCGATCCTCCTCCGCCTCTTCTGCCCCGCCGGCAACTCTGCCACTGAACCTTACATTGTTGGTCATCATGTTCTTCTCTCTCATGCAACTGTGGCAGATATTTATAGGAAAAAGTACAAGGTAAGATCGGTGCTACCATGGAACTGGGTGCTCTCAACGGCGAAATTCTTAGCGTCCCTCGGCGGCTTTAACTCATTCATCTGGATTATTCTAAAAGTTAATAGTTGGTCACATCATCATGCTATTAGAAATTAAAAATAAATCTACATCATCTGTGAACAACTTTTTAATACCTTTTAGGGAACATCCAGTTTCCTGGACTTATCAAGTTTAAATTAACTGTATTATTTCGCAGGATGTACAACATGGATCACTTGGGATAGCTTTTGATGTCATATGGTATGAGCCACAAACAAACAAGAAAGAAGACGTTGAAGCAGCCCAGAGAGCTCAAGACTTTCAGCTTGGCTGGTAAGTATAGTCATTAATTAATAATACAGCATGAAGAAAAATGAACAAGTTATATATAAAAGCAAGATCATATGTGAATACTTGCTTATTACAACACAGGTTTCTGGATCCATTGATGTTTGGAGATTATCCAAGTTCAATGAGAAGCCGAGTTGGGAGCAGATTGCCAAAATTCTCACAATCTGAGGCCAATCTTGTGAAGGGTTCATTAGATTTTGTGGGAATCAACCATTACACTACCTTTTATGCAAGACAGAACTCCACAAACATTCTTGGAGTTTTGCTTAATGACTCAATTTCAGACTCAGGCGCCATTACTCTTCGTAAGTTCTTTCTGATCGATCATTTTGACAGTATTAGCTAGCTAGAGTGCTTTTAATTTCTCTGAGTGTTTGTTGTTTTGTTAATAATGGTGTTGTTTTCTCTTTTGTTTCAGCATTCAATGGAACTAAAGCTATTGGAGAAAGGGTATGTACAATGAAATAGAAGCATTTCTGTCAGAAAACCATTTTGCATGTATTTATAGGACCTATTTTTTTTCGTCTTGATTAAATCCTTTGACTTTATCCTATTAGTATCGTTAGTTTGTATTAACTTTCCTCCGTTAGCATCGTTATCCCGTATACAGGAGTTAACAGTGCTAAAAAGTAAAGTTAAAGGATTTAATTGAGAGAGAAGGATGCCAAATTCAGATTTAAAGGAAAATATAGACACCTGCAAAATAATTTTTTTTTTCTTTCTCTTCATATAATTAATGAGTAAGAGAATCTGATATATGACAATCTGCAAAATTCTGAGTTATACAGGCAAATTCTATATGGTTGTATATAGTTCCAAGAGGCATGAGAAGCTTAATGAATTACATCAAACAAAAGTATGGCAACCCTCCAGTCATTATCACTGAAAATGGTAATTTTTTTCCTTTCTCTTTCCACCATTATTTTAAAAAAAAAAAAAAAAGCTCAGAAACACAACTTTATATATATTCTCCTCTTGTCATGTTATGTGGATTTCAGTTTTTAAGATATCACTGTTCTTATCAATTTTATTTTATCATTCTGAATGAAGTGTGATGAATTTGCCATTTGTGTCTGTTATGGTATCTGGGACAGGAATGGATGATGCAAACAATATATTCATATCTATTAAGGATGCTCTCAAGGATGAGAAAAGGATTAGATACCACACTGGCTATCTATCTAGTTTACTAGATTCAATCAAGTACGTAATCAATTATAATCTCTCAAACTGTTTAATATTTCTATTGCTCAAAAGCCATTTTAAAGTTGAAACAATTTTTTTTCTATTTTTGACTTCTGGCAATTCTTCAAATCAATAGTTTTTCAAACTAACTTTTCAATATATTATCTAAACGAATTTTTGTCTGACTGATTTTGTTTTAGTAAAAGCATATTCAAACATAAAAAGTAAATACTTTTACAAACGTTATTAATCCAAATTTTTTGATGAATAATGAAATGCAGGGAAGATGGGTGCAACGTGAAAGGGTATTTTGTATGGTCATTATTGGATAACTGGGAGTGGGCCGCTGGATACACATCAAGATTTGGTCTTTATTTTGTTGATTATAGAGACAATCTAAAGAGATACCCAAAACAATCTGTCCAATGGTTCAAGAACTTCCTCAACCACTCAACTGCTGCTGCTGATACAAATTGATGAACATACCTGAATATTATTGAAAGCTAATTACATGTGTGTTGTGATTTGAATTTACAAGTGCTTTTAGACGGAAGAATATATAATGAAGCTGTTAAAAGATAGTTAGAGTGTGTTTTCCCATTAATGCTATAGGTTTTTTCTTTTCTTTATTTTTGTTTGTCGTTTTACTGTTGACTATATTTGTTGCAGAAATTTGTATATTGTTCAATTTGATTTGATAAATAATTATTGTGACATTAACCCATATGAAAAGTAGAGAGGATTCTTTTTTGGTTAACCTTTTCTTCCACATTTTAACGATCACTGTAGAAAAATACCTCTGCACCCATTCAAAAGCCAGTGAAGAAAGTTCATTAAAAAAAGTACTTCTTCACCGATTCAAAACTTTCTACAACAGTTATATCTATACTGGTTACCAAATCAGGGTAAAAAAGGCCTTTCTCATTAGTGATATCAATTTAAATATTATATTTTATGTCGATCTTTTTCAAATTAATGGCAGGGTTTATACTATTTTGGTCCTAATAATTTAATTAGATTTTGGTTTTAGTTCTTATCGTTTCAAATAGTGGTTTTTTATCCTTATAATTTCACGGGATAATTAATATATAAGTCCTTATAGTTTCAACTAGTTTTTAATCAGGTCCCTATAATTTTTTTTCTTTTTATCAAATCCTTATACTTTCATATATTTTTAATCAAGTCGTTATAATTTTTTTCTTTTTATCAGGTCCTTATTGTTTTACTTTGTTTTTAATTAGGTCCTTCTAGTTTTTATTCTTTGTTTTACAAATAATAACATTTTAAAAATAATAAATTATTGTAACAATCTTATGTTAATATTCTTTTAAATTTTTAGTTAAACAAATATATTATTTATTTTCAATTCAAATTTTTATAATTATAAAATTCAAATCATAATAATAAATTTATCTAAAATTAAAATATGATTATAAATAATTTATATTTAAGTATAATTATTATTCTGATTATTTATTAATTACTAAATGATTATATTAATTATTTTGTCCAATTATATAATTATTAATTTAAAAATGAAATTAATTTTAAAGAATAAAGTTAATAAATAATTTTTCAAAAACTACAAAGCACCTAATTAAAAAATAAGTGAAACTATAAGGACCTGATAAAAAGAAAAAAATAGAAGGACCTAATTAAAAACACACGAAAGTAAAAGGATCCAATAAAAAGAAAAAATTTTATAAGGACCTAATTAAAAATCAGATGAAACTATAAGGATCTGGAGATTAATTATCCCTAATTTCACAAAGACTTGGTCTAATGATGTTAAATATAAGGACAAAAACCAAAATTTGTTAAAAATATAAGAACGTACAAAATCCAAATTCATTAAAAGTAAAAGAACTAAATAAGTTTTGATTTTGGTCCATATACTTTTAATAAGTATTTTTCTTGGTTTCTATGCTTAATGACGCTAACTCAAGCCAAGTTTTTATGAAACTATAAACTCTAAAAACTATGATTTGAAATTACATGGATCAAAATCAAAATTTGATCCATAATAATATTGATCTTAATGGAAAATAGGGGGCGGAGTTCAAACTTGGATAATATGGAGGGGTGAAGCCCAAAAGAAAACAAAACATGTTGAGGCTCATTTAAACCATATACATGGGCCAACGCACTCCACGTGAATTGCCATTTAATTCATAGGGCAAAAACAGATTGAGAGAATTCTAACTTTTCTATATATTTACACTACAAATTATAATACCAACAAGGATTAAGAGAGTGTTTGAATAGAAACCAAACCATGCTTTTAAAAGTATTTTTAAAGTTTACGAAATAAACATATAGAGTTTTGTCTCGTTTTGTGAAAAAGTGCTTTTTATAAACACTTTTGAGGGTTGCTAAACACCCCCTACGTATAACAAAGAAGATCAGTCCTTCACATCATAAAGGACTAAGGTTTGAACTCCCACCGAGAGAGGTGTCAGTATTTAATGCCAACAACATTTCAAATAGAATTGTTTTAAATAGAAAGATACTGTGTCTAACCAAAAAGGAAAAAAAATTACAAATTATAAGTGAATTATTTATTTATTTATATCCACCATATGAATGAAGTGATTTTTTTTTTTTTTCAGGTGTGCTTCATTTCGTGACATCTCTTTTTCTCTCCATTGCGTATATGTTAGGCGCCACTGCGGCCTAGAGTTCAGACAATGATTGAGGAAGCCTACTAAAGTACACCACCAAGTTACGCCGCAAGTAATGCCGAAATTAGGCTTCTTTTTATACAAAGTCGGTTTTGGTGTTACTTCAAACCAAAAAAAAAAAGGCACTAAAGTTGAACATTACAAATAGGAAAAGAGGAGTTGGAATTTCCAAGTTACGAAGGATCAATCATACTTGAAGTCTTGAACACAACACAAGCAAAGCTTCTTGGATTTGAAAATGAAGCTTCTCTATTTATATCAACATTGGAACAAGATTATTGATCAACTTTGAAGAACTATATGCACAAATTCCTAATTGTTTGACTGTGATAGTACTTAAATCTAACTTAATTGATAATACTAAGTATATATGTATGAATAAAATTATGAGAGAATTACAATAAAGTCCTAAGAAAGAAAAAAAAATATAAAAACAAGTTCCAGAAATTATTATTTCCACTCTAGGACTTGTCATTACAGGCTGCTTAGATTGTCATTAAGAATTTTTAGTAATTATTTTTTTTCTTGAGACTTGATTATAATTCTCTCTAAAATTATTCAAAGAAAGCTACCATCTTTATTTAGGCTTTAGGCTTCGTGGCAATGTTTTAAAAGTGAAACGTATGTGGCTCATGATTCTCATGTTTCAATTGATTAGACCGGTAAATGAACCAGTCAAATAATAATAAAAAAAATTATTAAAAAAATAATTGTATGCATATATAAAACAATATATATGAGAAAAAATTCAAAATAAGTCTTAGTTGTCAATATAATAACGCGATAACATATGGAGTAGTCAATAAGATAACACAATATAACTACAACTGATATGAAAATATATTATACTTTTGAGAGGGTAAATTTTTTTTTATAGATATTATTTTTTTTCAGTTTTTTTTGTGGCAAAAAATTTATTAGGTTTTCCGAAAATCTTTCTAGTTCCCATTTTAATTTTGGGTTTCCACCCAATAGAGGCTCACCTCTTATCTAAACCGGCTCAATTTAACCATAAAAACAATTTTCTAGCCAAATCAAGTTGTTAGTGAATCCAAGTGATGATCTAACCGTCTAGTTTTGATCCAATTTTTTAATCACTACTTAATAGTAATTAATTTAAATTAATCAACAAATATTAGTTTTAGTGGAAGAGATTATAACTACAGCAAGCGTAGGGTTCAAAATTATGTGAATACAAAAAGATAAATTTAATGAGCTGCTCCTCATTTAATTTAAGGCCTAACAATACCTGAATCTAATTGGATAGTATCATATATTAAATACTATGTAAAAACTTAATTTAGATTAATGAGAAGTGCTAGACCCTTGAATCCTTGATAATTTCACATTAATTTATTATAATATGTAAAACTCTTTTTTTTTTTTAAAATATCATTTTGGGGAAATGGCAAATAAAGACCCTTGAAAATATAAAATGGCAATTTGGGTACTTCAATTCATAAAATTGCTATCAGAGACCGGGTCCTAGATTGCAATTATGAAATGAAGCCCAAATGACTAAAATGCCTTTCCTTTTCTCTTTCTTCCAGCACCTCATTTCTTTCTCTTTCCTTCTTCTCTTCCTCTCTCTCTTTGTCCTACTCTCCCTCTCTAGAAACGTAAATTTCTGACTTCATTTCTCTCTCTCTCTCTCCCCTCTTTCTTCTCTTTCCTTTTTCTACTCTCCTTCGATTTCATTCTTCTTCTCCAGAACCGTGACGTTCTTCTATGTTTTTCCCAACCCATTGATTTGCAATGGGAAAAATGAAAACATGTTAACCGTGTAACTTCCATATTTAATTTTCTGCAAAACATGTAATGCTAATAGCCTAATATAGTACTCTTCATATAAAAGCTCTCATTCTCCATAATCTCTCTTTATTCTACAACCTCATCTCCTACTGATATACTCGAATTAACAACTGTTACCTCCTTTCATTGTAAAAAACTGGTTGTTGTCAAAGAATTCTGGAAATTATCATTTACGAAGAGAAATGTAAACTTGTATAAAAACCTTATTGGAAGTGATAAGTTCACTATGACAAATGATAAGCTGAGTATGATAAATGACAAGTTCTCATAAGGTTTTCATACAATTTCAAATTTCTCTGTTAAAATGACTAAATTTTCATATTGATTTATGAAATGACAAGTTTACTATGGCAGATGACAAGTTGAGTTTGACAAATGACAAGTTCTCATAAGGTTTTCATACAATTTCAAATTTCTCTGTTAAAATGACTAAATTTTCATATTGATTTATGAAATGACAAGTTTACTATAGCAGATGACAAGTTGAGTTTGACAAATGACAAGTTTCCATAAGGTTTTCATACAATTTCAAATTTCTCTGTTAAAATGACTGAATTTTCATATTGATTTACGAAGTGAAAAGTTTACTATGACAAATAACAAGTTGGATATGACAAATGATAAGTTCCCATAAGAATTTCATACAATTTTAAATTTCTCTGTTGAAATGACTGAATTTCCACATTGATTTACAAAGTGACAAGTTAATTATGACAAATGACAAGTTGAATTTGGCAAATGACAAGTTTCCATAAGGTTTTTATGCAATTTCAAATTTCTCTATCAAAATGATAGAATTTTCACGTTGATTTACGAAGTGACAAATTTACTATGGCAAATAACAAATTGAGTTTGGCAAATGACAAGTTCCCATAAGGTTTTCATACAATTTCAAATTTCTCCATTAAAATGATTGAATTTCTACATTGATTTACGAAGTGACAAGTTTACTATGACAAATAACAAGTTGAGTTTGGCAAATGACAAGTCCCCATAAGGTTTTCATATAATTTCAAAAAAATGAATGAATTTTCACATTGATTTATGAAGTGACAAGTTTACTATGGCAAATAACAAGTTGAGTATAGCAAATGACAGGTTCCTATGAGATTTTCATACAATTTCAAATTTCTTCGTTAAAATGACTGAATTTTCATATTGACTTATGAAGTGACCAGTTTACTATGGCAAATGATAAGTTGAGTTTGGCAAATGACAAGTTCCATCAGGTTTTCACACAATTTCAAATTTCTCTGTCAAAATGA